CCAGTGGTGACTCTGCTCGGTAAACCCTGCACCACGTGCAGAATGGGAGGAAAGCTTGGTGCACAGAGCAGTACTCCTTACATGTGTGTTTGAGGGCAACACGGCTCCAGGCACATCCTGACCTGTCATCACTGAATGACATCAGTGCTGGCTCACAGGAGCCCATGCTCAGCTCAGGGAGACAGGGTAAGAGACACAGCAGCTTGGCCGGAGGCAAGGGAAGCCTAGCTTTCTTGCCACCACCCCCCCGGCCCATTTTCTTTTGAGTACATGATTTTATTTTTTAATGTAATGTGATTTGAGTGAAACTTTACAGAGCAAATTGATTTTCTAGCCAACAATTCATACACATTTTGTTTCAAGACTATGATTGCAAACTCCGCAATGTAACAGCACTCTTCCCACTTCCTCCCTGTGCTTACCACTTCCCTTTGTCCTCCATTCCTATCCCTCCTTGCCTTCTGAGCTTTCTCCCTGGACAAATGCTGCCCTTTTGATCTTGAATGGGTGACTGTTCTAAGACGTGCATACTTCTTTGTTGTTATTGTTCAGCTTATAGACCTGACTATTGTTTGGCTGAAGGTTTAGCCAAGGGAATGAGTTCAGTCTGACGCCTGAAGGGTGTCCAAAGGCCAAGTCTTGGGGGTTCCGTTAGTCTCCATCAGACCAGTAAGGCTGGTCTTTTTATGACTCTGAGTTTTGTTCCCCATTTTTCTCCCACTCTATCCAGGACCTCCGAGTGTGATCAATTTTAGATCTTCTGGATTCAAGGGCGTGGAGGCTGAGGTTTGTGTGATCCACGAATCCTTTGGACTAATTGTTTCCATGTGTCTTTGGTGTTCTTTACTCCAGACAGGGAGAGACCAAGAGTTGCGCCTTACAAGGCCACTCACAAGCTTTTAAGATCACAATTGCTACTCACCAAAGTAGGCTGTTGAACATTGTTTTTGAAAATTAGGGTACACCAATTGACCTTGGTGTCCCCAGAGACTATGGTCCTAAGTCACCAGGCCCAGTGACTCATTCCTTCAAGGTGTTTGATTATGGCTAATCAATTTTCATGACTTTGCTCCCTGTATGGTCTAATATATTCATGGATAAATTGGCAGCACATGGAAGCACACAGGTAGAGAGATCGTCTGTCAAACCCACATATATTCCTGGCTGTGTTACTCATTTACCTCCTAGCTTGCATATCTGTCTATGGATCCACTCATAGATTAGTGTCACTACTGTTGTTGCATGGTTGGGCATGTAATAATATTCACTCTTGTGCTCCTCCCAGGGTCTTCTCTGCCTTGATCACTGTGGACTGACCTCTCCCTTATTGTATATTGCATTTCCCTTCACCCAAGTTAATATATGCCTACCCTTTCCAAGCCAAACCTAGCTCACTGCCGTCGAGCCAATTTGACTCATAGTGACCCCTCCTTGGGTTTCTGAGACGGTATCTCTGCAGAAGTAGATTGCCCAACCTTCCTTCTGAGGAGTGGCTGGTGGGTTTGAACTGCCAGCCTTCTGGTTAGCAGTCACCTGCCTTAGGCACCCTTTAGTTAGCGATTTCCCCTCCCTTTTATTTCCACCCCTGGTAACGTGAAAAGACCACTTCTGTGTGCAAACGTTTTCTTGATTTTTTATAGTAGTGGTCTAATGGAACATTAGTCCTTTTGTGATTGACTAATTTCATTCAGTATAATGTCCTCCAAGTTCATCCGTGTTATGAGGTGTTTTGAAGATTTGTCATTATTCCTTAAAGTTGCATTTTGTGTTATGCACCAGTTTGTTTATCCATTCATCTGTTGCTGGGCACTTAGGTTGTTTCCATCTTTTTCCTGTTATGAATAGTGCTGTGATGAACATGGATATGCATATAGCTATTTGTGTCATGGCTCTTAATTTTCTAGGATATGTAGTTAGTAGGATTGCTGGATCATATGTTATTTCTATTTCTAAATTTTTAAGGAAGCACCATACCATTTCCCATAGTGTTTGTAGCATTTCATAGTCTCACCAGCAGTGTATAAGGGTTCCAGTCTCTTCACTCCCTTGAAAGTATTTGTTCTTTTCTGTCTTGCTATACTCTGAACTTTGCTATTAGTGCTGGGATGCATGCATATAGTGAAATATTAGTAAGCCATAAAGAGAAGTGAAATCCTGGTACACGCTGCAACATGGATGAAACTTGAAAACATGCAGTGTGAAATAAGTCAGTCACGAAGGGGCAAATACTGTATGATCTCCCTCATATGAGACAGATAGACTAGGCAAGTCTAGACATCACAAGGAGCCTAATGGTGTAATAGTTAAAGTGCTTGATTGCTAACCAAAAGGCTGACAGTTCAAACCCAACAGCCACTCTGAAGAAGAAAGATAAGATAGTCTGCTTCTGCAAAATTTTTAAACCCTTGAAAACCCTATGGGGCAGTTCTATGGGGCTGTAAGTCAGAATTTACTCAACAGCAATGGGAACAGATAGTGGATACCAGGGATGGGAAGGAGAGGGGAAGGGGAACTCATTGCTTGGGGGACACTGAATTCTGTTACAGATGATGGAAAAATCTGGAAACAGATAGTAGTGATTGTTATGCAACATGATGGATGTGATAAATGTCACTGAATTTCACACATGAAAAATGTTGGAACAACCAATGTTTTGTTATATAGATGAACTCACCACAATAAAAGACAAATAAAACAGAAAACTATTTGGTAAGAAGTATTAGATTCCTATGTGTTAAGTTTTTGAGTGTCCAGGCTGTCTAAAGGACCCTGGCTGGAGTTAGACCTTCATCCATACTTATGTGACCTCAGCTGATTCTTGCAGCACCATCTGTGGCATACCCGGGTGTAGATGAAGGAGTCGGTGTCAGATAGTTTGAGGAGTCACCCAGGACTGATGGCTGATGGGACTCAGCAGAACCACAGCCACCCAAGGACTGTTGGGTCCTTGCCCAACAGTCATCTCAGAGGGCCCAAGCTCACCTAGAACTATCTAGGGCAACAGACCTGAACACAGAACGTGGTCCCAGAAGGGCTTGCTCTCGGCAGCTCCAACACACACATTCGCTGTGTGCAGTGCATTGCTCCAACTCTAACCCCTCTTATAGGCCTGTGATTGGGTTCTCTAATGTGTTTCCTTCACTAAAGAAGAAACAATAATGCAAGGGATGGGGCAGGCGGGTAGGAGAGAAAATATTACCATCACCATAGTTTGTCTATCCCTGGTGTTAGTCTGCAATTGACTGAAGACAGAACAAATAGGATTCCACTATACAAACATCCACACACATTCATTAGAAATTATGGACTATTCCCTGCCCAAACATACTTTTTCACGTCGCGTGTTCAGGCAGTTCTTGCCTCTCTGCTCTAGGAAACTAAGGGACAGTATTTAGTATTCTAATTGTCTACACGCAGCAGCACAAAGGGTCACAGAGCACATTTGCAAGACTGAATATGGTGCCTCTTACCTGGGAGGACAGGCAGCAAGTTTGCAAGACACCATCCCTGTGACAGGTCGCGTCTTGGGATTGCAGAAGGATGTGTTCACTTGCAATCTCAGGTCTTGGTAGCAGCTTGTTCTCGTGGCCATCTGTCCTGTGTGGATGGGCAAGAGCAACAATCAAGACTCATAAGCACACCTGGTTGTAAAAGGCAGATGAAGAGCTAATACTATCCTTTCTTAAAAGCCCTACTGTATTTGCATGTCTCTGAGTTACGACCAGCTGGGTAATTATTGGCCTTCTACTTCTCTGGCCTGTCTTTGTGATTTTTGTTAGTAAAGTCCATCAGTTCTAAGGTGGACATATTTCCCACCGATCTTAATGTCTTGACTACCAAGATGTGCCTTGCAATTGATGCTATCACACCTTGCCCAGAATGCACTATTCTTTTCCTCTGTATTCATGGTGGAGAACACCGGTCATTTCTCAAAAGAAACACCAAAATAAAATACATCTGACTCGTGCTTCTAGCTGAGAGGTGACAGGCATACTAAATAGAAATGCAATAAGAAAGATTAAGAAAAAAACCAGAAAGAAACAAAGACAAGAAAATAGTAAGCAGTAAGTGTATTGCCAGGGAGTACAGAGAGCTAACTACTGCCAATGGAGCCCAGATGGTACAATGGTTAAGCACTCAATTACCAAATGAAAGGTCAGTGGTTCAAACCCACCAGCTACTATGTGGAAGAAAAGACTTGGGGATCTGCTGCTAGAAAGTTTCCCTCACTCTCGTTGCAATGAAACTGTGGTAATAGAAGGCGTTGTGTGCCAACGAGTCAATTCCAACTCACAGTGCACCTAGAGGACAGGGTGGAACTGCCACAGAGGGTCTCCAAGGCTGTCAGTCTTCACAGAAGCAAAGCTCAAACCATAACCACTGCTGTGGTGTTGATTCCAACTGAAAGCGCCCCTAGAGGACAGAGTTGTACTGCCTCAGGGTTTCCAAGGCTGTAATCATCATGGAAGCAGGCTGCCACATCTTTCTCCTGCCGACCTTCCCATTAGCAGCTGAGCACTTAACCACTGTGCCACCAGAGCCCTTTCCCATAAAGATGACAACCTAGAAAATCCTCCTGTGGGGCAGTTCTACTCTGTCCTACAGGGATGCTGTGAGTCGGAATCAACTCAAAGGCTCCCAACAGATACCATCAGCATGGTTTCATTGCACACCCAAAGGTGAACTTTCCTAATGAGTCACGGGTTATACTGCGGGAGGTCGGTGGAAACAAGTTGGTTTGATTCACAGCCTGTGTTTCTATCAGAGAAGGAAACCCAGTGGTGCTGTTTAAGGCTTTGGGAAACATGCCTACATTTATCCGTGACTTCAGTTCATTAAATTTGCCTAAAAGAGACTACACCAGGAGTACACTGTGAAGGGTGATAGTGAAGAGCTCAGTCAGCAGAAGGGAGAAAGGCGATAAAGAGAGAGAGCCAGCTAGTGTAGATATAAAATAGACACAGTATGTTGAGGGTTGAAAATCACTTCACTGCTGTGCCTGGAAAAAGCCACGAAGGACGTGCTGGCCACCCGGGTCTTCTGTTCTCTCTCATCCAGGCCATGACTTCCTGGCACCCCTCAGCCAAGTCATGACTTCCCATGACTTCCTGCCCCCTTACCCCAGCCAGGCCATGACTTCCTGGCACAACCCAAGCCAGCCCATGACTTCCTGGTATCACCCCCAACCAGGCCGTGACTTCCTGCCCCTCCCCACCCCAGCCCACTACCTCTGCTCCACTCCCATCATGAGACAGGTCATCAGAGGTCTGTTCAGATGAGTGAAGCAGTTGGCTGTACATCCCAGGTACACAGATTTCTAACACTAGCTTGCACAGGTGGTCAAATTCCACTTCACTTATTAAGAAAATGAATTTCAAAGTCTCTAAAATACCCATTGCAGAATAGTTCGACATTTTGCCTTTGTTTTGTCAAAAAGAAAAGTCAGTTGAATAGGGCAAGATGTATTTTATAGAGATTTTGAGCTCTAAGTTCTAAAGCAGCATGAGGAAGAGGGTGTCCTGGACTTTGCAGCAGAAAACCCTTGTGGACACTCATGGGTCCAAACCCAAACAGTCCATTTCCGGGTGACTAGCTTTCCATGCTGTTGGGGAGAAGGGGTGGTTACCTACGAGCCTTGCAGTGTTGTAAAATTATCCAGCTCTCTGCCACCTTACCAAAACCGTATTTTTAACCAAGGTAAACTGTTCTTATTTGGCTGCACCTCCCTCCCCAACCCCCGCCCCTCAGTGAGTTCTGCACTTACTTCTTCCCAATTTTGATGATCCCTGACCAGGGATGGCTTGTTAAGAAATGACTTGGATAAAAGTCATACAATGTGTCTGTAGATATCTAAGGGGATTTGTTTAAATACATGAGGCTATGGTGAAGGGCAATGTTTCTATTTAAATTCACAATTGAAATCTCGTGCACACACACACACATACACACACTGTCTAAAGTTACCAGGTCACGTTGCTCCCCACGAGCATGAACCTCGATCCTATGAGTCAACAGAACGGTAATAAAAGAGAAGATTCTGAGCACACTGGCAAGCTTGTTCTTATATGGAATTGCAAAAAAAATCAGAGATGTGGTTGGCGTGTGGGCAGGTATGATGGAGGTGGCGAGGGGACACTCAGCACACTGTCTGGGTGGGAGCCATACAGCAGGGTGGCTGCAAATGTGTTGGGCAGAATCACACAGCTGAGCTGCGTTGAATCTCCAGTCATGGGCAAGGTAGCCCCGTGCCCCGGGAAGAGGTAACAGCAGAGGGCAAATCTATAGCCCCTTGTGCAGCAAATTCTGAGCAAGGCTAGGTAGGTAAGAGACATGGGCAGGCCCATGCCAAATATAGTTTCCATACTGTAGACCCCAGATCACGCTACCCCTGCAATCTCATCTTATGCACTGTGAGAGGGAGTGACGTCGGAGACAGTCATGACTGGCAGCGTGGCCTGTCATTCAGCACACACAGCACAGGTACAGGCAGGCATGAGGGACAACTGAGGGCACCACCTATCGGAGAGTCATAGCTTCACCACTGTTCCTCGCCTTGATGAGGGAGAGGCAGGGATCTGGTCTACAGTCCCTTCCATTTCCCTGTGTTTCCCTTGGAGACTGTACATATCGACATACGTTGTAGACTGAACTATGGTCCAAAAAGCACCTGCTAAATCCTAACCCTGCACATATGAATGTGATCCTGTTTGGAACTAGGGTCTTTCTCTGAAGATGTTCTCAGCTAAAAGTCATACCACAGCAAGGAGGGTTCCAGTCCTGATCCCTTCTGGGTGATGTCTTATCTTATGTCACTGGGTAAGTGCACCATGGCTTCGATGTCACGTGCTGTCTTCATGTCACTTCCTCTAGCTACCACCACAGAGCTCAGGGGCCTCCATGGCAACCAAGCCTTGTGTTCTGCTGTTCATGCTTCTAAGCCCTCTGCTGCCAGCTCCCACCATGCTGCCTTGGCATGGGCGAGTGAGCACTTCCAGAGTTCTATCTGGTTGTTGAGAAATCTCAACTGGTATTCCATCAGTTCCTGGAACCTTGCTTTCACTAATGCCTTCAGTGCAGCTTGGACTTCTTCCTTCAGTACCATTGATTCTTGATCACGTACTACCTTCTGAAATGGTTGAGCCTCCACCAATTCTTTTTGGTACAGTGAGTCTGGTTGTTCTATCCACTTTCTTTTGACGCTTCCTGCATCATTCAATGTTTTGTCTATTGCCTTCTTCAACATTGCAACTCAAGGATTGAAGGTTTTTTCTGCTTGGGAAATGCTGAGTGTCTTCTTCCCTTTGTTTTTCTAATTCCAGGCCTTTGCACATTTCACTATAATAAGCTTATGACATGAGGCTAAAACAAAACAAAACAAAAAACAACCAACCTCATTGCTGTCGAGTCAGATCCAACTCATAGCGACCCCTCCTTGGGTTTCTCAGATGGTATCTCTATGGAAGTAGATTGCCCCATCTTCCTTCTGAGGATTTGAACTGCCAGCCTTCTGGTTAGCA